TGCCCAAAACAGCCCACATGGCTGCCACATGTGACTTCTTCCCTTCTATTTGGGAGTATGCAGCACATGCTTCCTTAGCCCATTCCTCAAACTCAGGCTCCCTTGAAAAGAAGCAAGGAAAGTGTACCAGCAGGCATATAGCCGGGGGGGGGGGGCTTGGGGGGCTTCAGCCACCTTCCCCCCGAAATTCTCATGGTGGTTTGCGAAAAGGCCTTACTGGTGCATTATTTAAACTGTTATGTTTATTCATATCATGATCTGATCACAATACACAATATATCCCATATGCATGGGGGTATTGGGGTAACGATACAAAAGGTTTGCTAGGGTAGACCCTCTTTCACGCAGACTCAGCCCCCCCCCCCCCGAATCGAAATCCTGGCTACGGGCCTGGGTACCAGGAATGGAAAGGGGAGCCTTGTAAGTTCCCATTGCCACCAATTGACCTTATCTTCCTGCATCTTTCCACTGCCTAGCCAAAAACAGATTTTTCTATTAGCTGGTTTTTAAGAGGCTCCCAAAAACAGATCTGGGCACCCAACAAAACTTAGATATCAAAAACGGATCACCCTCCAACCAAATTGCAGAAGCCTATTCTTTGCAGTACTTTGTAAGTCATCTTGAGTCCCCAAGTGGGGAAAAGGTGGGGCACAAATGCAAGGACGGATGAATGGATTGTCTATCCCAATTAGGATTAATAGGTGACACAGCCCAACAAAATCATATGCACCATAGGATTTCCATCTTTGTCCTATACTTAACCTTTTCCATATCATTTAACAATCACATTTAGCTAAAACATGAACACAATTTCTTATCTCCAAACCTGTGTTAAAAACCCATCTACAAAACTTTGGAAGCAAAGGTCAGCACCCTGTTACTATTACAAGCCAGAATCACAGAATCACTGAGTTAGATGAGACCTTGTGGACCACCCAGTCCAACTCCCTGCCCAAAAGCAGGAAAATTGAAGTCAAAACATACAATTCAAAACAGAAAACGGAGGAGAGTATGAACTGCTGAGAAGAGAACAAGGCAACTCAGAAGACAACACACATTCCCAAAAAGCCAAACTGAGAATTGGCTGTGTCTTTTTAAACGAGCCACAATATCCACAGACATTTAGGATGAAGCATTGGGGTTTGTGGGCCAAATAAAGCATAGCTCCCAGACAAAAGCAATCTCTGGCATCTCTATGTAGAACACTTGAAAGTCCTCATCTTTTCAAAACTCAAATGTGTCTTTGCTTCCGAAATACTCTAAATGCAACAAATCCAAATAGATAATGGATCCTAAACAGGGTCAGCTCTGGAAAATCCTTGGATAGGCAAACAACAAGGAATACCAGGTACTGCAGGCTATATTTTTGAGGAGGAAACTAGCAAAATCACCACTGCTTTGCCTAAGAAAACCTGTTGAGATGTATGGAGCTGCCATAAGTCCACTGGTGAGATGAAGGCATATGTGCACACATGCACACACATGTATCTCTTCATCTTCAAAGAGGCTTAGATCCACTCTAGCTAGAAACCTTTATGAATTACTCTTCTTTGAGGATGAGAAACTGTAGATAGATGCTTTCAGAGGTCCTTCAGTAGCAGTAAGACACTCCCATCACCCCAACCATTGGTCATGCTGGCTGGAGTTGATAAGGATTTACAGTTAACAGATAGGTTTCCCTATCCTTGCCAATGTATTACATGGGTAAGCATGTGGATGCATTCAGTAGCGATAGGTCCCATCAGCCTTATGTCGGGTGGGGGAATGTTCTGAGAAAAGAAATCTAAGATGAGCACATCCACAAGTAGAGCACATTCTCTGAATGCAGAAAGTCCCGAGTTCAATCTCTGGCATCTCTATGTAGGACACTTGAAAGTCTAATTTGGTGCCTGACAAGTCATTGCGAGTCAGTGTCAACGACAAAAGAAGCCTAGATGGACCCATTGTCTGAGCAAAGTGGAAGACAACAGCTGGTCTCTGGTTGTAGGAGGCTCAAGAGATGGTTCAAGATAATTAGACCTCAAGAAAAGGAATTGGGGGGGGGGGGTCATTTAAAAGGGATGGCATTTTGAAATAAACAGATTTTGCACCACTATTCCAATTCCTTAAAATGTTTTCATTTCCTTCCTTCTGCAAAGGCAATCCCAGTTTTGCTTCACCAACCTGTTTTGGAACACTGATCGTCTTGACAAAGAGAACCTTCCCTATCACCAGCAGCTAGACTGGAGCTAATCCTCCAAACTGCTAAAAGCCTCAAAGGAGAATTAGGTTTTGTTTGTTTCGAATATTACCAACGCATGCATGCACACAGCTATACTCATATTCACACACACTACGTCCCCAAACTCAGGAAAAGCCACAAATCACCTCGGATATGTTTCTAAATCCCCCCCCCCCCCCCCCCCGCCCACACACACACACACACACACACACACTTCATCCTCTTCACTCAAATAATCCAATCTGGGTAGGAAGCCCTAGGAGAGTTCATCATTAAGATTTAAAGCTTCACGTTGTGACTTATCACAGAAGATCATTTCCTTAGAAAAACATACAAAGCAGCCTAGATCGCACCATAGATGTGGAATTTGTTTCCAAAATATACCAAATCTATCTGAACAAGTGTTACGGGAATTGAAAAAACCTGCTGAGGATATGCATTCTTTTGAACCTGTGAGGATGTCTGCTATAGATGTGGGAGAAATGTCAGGAGGGAATGCTTCTGGAATATGGAAAATTCACAGCAACCTATTGCTACAAAATGTGATTTTCCTAGCCTTGATTTGATATATCTTGATAGTTTTGACCTGTACATAATATTCTACTCCTAGCTAACAATGTGCTGCCACCTATAACTCATGTATCAATTTGGTACCATTTGGTAACAAACTCTTGGGGAAAGGTGGTTGCAAAGAGCTGCTTGTGTAAAAGTGCTGCTTTTCTAGAGAGTGAAGAAGCCCAGGAAGCACACTGTCTCCCACTGCCTAAAATTATCATTCTTTTTCACCACCATGAGAATGAGAGCACACTTTAATTCTTCAAAAAGGATTGCATCTCCCCTTGTGCTTATGTTGCATCTCCCCTTGTGCTTAGGAAGGTGTAAACTCCAAAGTCTGACTACATCTTGCCCAAAAAAAGAGCTGGAGTTGGTCACATAATGAGAGAACTTGTTCCCCAAAATGCCTTTGTTCTGCTTTCATCCTTTAAGTCTAGTGAAATGCCAGAAAAGGAGGGATGCCTCAGAGGGACTGGGTAGCCTTTGGTTCCCTCTTTTCATTTTCCCATCATTTTCCCAGCCATCAGTGGGAGGCACCTGCTGCTCCAGAGGCTGGCTTCCATTTTGTCCCTTCCCGCCACACAAATGCATCCAGCCTCGGCCAGCAGCTCCAGAGACCCCTTCCTCTTTCCTCCCACAGAAGGAGGGGGCTGCCCCTTGTCCCCAAGGAGCACATTGGGTGGCCCTTCCCTTTGTGCCCTCCCTGCAGAAACTCCGGACAAAGGAGAACCAGGCACAGGCTGGATGGACATGGCCAGACAATGCCATTTGGGACAGGCTCAGCATGGTCCCATTGCATTATATGGGTCTGTATATGGGTCAGCAGGTCTACAGCAGGCATGGGCAAACTCTGCCCCTCCCTCTAGGTCTTTTAGACTCTCAACTCCCACCATTCCTAACAGCCTCAGGCCCCTTCCTTTATCCCCCTCAGCTGCTTAAGTGGGAAAGGAAATGGAAAAAAGGGGAAAGAAAAGGGTCTGAGGCTGTTAGGAATTGTGGGAGTTGAAGTCCAAAACACCATGAGAGGCCCGGGTTTGCCCATGGCTGGTCTACACTGACCATATAATGCAGTTCCAAACTGCATTTTATGGCAGTGTAGATCCAGCTTTGATATGTCTGTGTATCTGTGCATTGGGCCAAGTCTTGAAGGGAGTGGGATCTCATCATTGCCCTTTGAACATGTGCAGAGTGCACTTCTCCTTAGCCTCAAGGGAATGCAAGGCAACTCCACCCTCCCATTCTTCCAGATCCTGAAGGATTGTCTGTGTGTCTCCTCCAATCCTCCTCCTCTTCCTCCTCCTGAGGGGGAAAAGGAAAAGGCCTGTGGCTGTGAGGAATGGGGGGGATTTGAAGTCCAAAACATCTGGAGGGAGGGCCCAAGTTTGCCCAGGCCTGGTCTACATTGACCATATAATGCAGTTCCAAACTGGAAAGCCCAGGTTTGCCCATGCCTGGTCTACACTGACCATATAATGCAGTTCCAAACTGCATTTTATGGCAGCATAGATCTAGCTTTGATATGTCTGTGTATCTGTATACTGGGCCAAGTCTTGAGGGAGTGGGATCTCAGTCTCTGCCCTCTGAACATGTGCAAAGTGTGCTTCTCCCTCCACTCATCCTCTGATTCTTCCAGATCCTGAGGGATTGCCTGTGTGTCTCCTTCAGTCCTCCTCCTCCTCCTGCTGCTGTGAGGCTGTGAGGAATGGTGGGAGTTAAAGTCCAAAACACTTGGAGGGAGGGCCCAAGTTTGCCCATGCCTGGTCTACACTGACCATATAATGCGGTTCCAAACTGCATTCTATGACAGCGTAGATCCAGCTTTTGTATATCTGTGTATCTGTGCAGTGGACCAAGTCTTGAAGGGAGTGTGATCTCAATCCCTGTCCAAAGAGCAAGCAGCGTCCCTTGGAACATGTGCAGAGCGCGCTTTTCCCTCCCCTCAAGGGGATACAAGGCAGCCCCACCCTCCCATTCTCCCAGATCCTGAAGGATTTCCTGTGTGCCTCCTCCAATCCTCCTCCTGCTCTCCAGGAGTGGAAACTCAATCCCTGTCCAAAGAGCAAGCAGAGTGAGTCCCTTGGAACATGTGCAAAGCGCGCTTCTCCCTCCCCTGAAGGGGATGCAAGGCAACCCCGCCCTCCGTTGTTTCCAGATCCTGAAGGATTGCCTGTGTGCCTCCTCCTCCTCCTCCCATCCTCACCCTCCCATCCTCCTCCCCATTCACCTGTTAAAGACTTTCCGGATCCTCTGGCTCACGTTGGAGGGATGGGGGCCGGAGAGGCTGTTGCTCCTGGCGGCGGCGGCGCTTCCTTCGGGCGGCAGGTTCTCGATGGTGGCCACGACATGGTTGGCTTGCTGCTGCTGGTGCTGCTGGTGCTGCTGCTGGTGGTGGTGCTGGGGGGCGAGCATGGCGGGCGCGGGGCTGGCCATCAGAAGGGAGCAGCAGGGCGCATCGCGGAGGGGGTCCCGCGGAAGAAGGTGCGCCCGCGGCCGGGGAAGGCGCGCGGCTTCGTCTCCTCGGGGATCCAGCGCCGGCGGCGCCTACACGGCCATGGAGAGAGAGCCCGGCGGGGGCTTGTCCGCCTGCCTTGCCTTCCCTTCCCTTCCCCACTGCCTCCCCTTCGCAGGCAGCAAGTGTCCCCGAGGAAGAGGAGGAAAGGGATGAAGCGCCGCCGCCAACAGCAGCAGCCTCTCCCTGGCCCGGCTTTTGTCTCTCCAAAGCCCAGCCTCTGCCTCCCAATCTCTCTCTCTGTCTCTCTCTCTCTCTGTGTCCACCTTGGAAGGTGCAGCGCTTCCCCTCACTCAGTCCCAGCAAGTGCCTGGAGAGGGAAAGAAAGGGGTGGTCTCTCCCTCTCTTTCTCTCCCTCTCTTTGCCCCCTCCCCGCCTCCAGCTCCTCCCCCTCCTCCTCCCGCTTGACCCCCTCCCCACTCTGCTTCTCCCCCTTCCCACCCCCCCCTTCTTCGCTCGGTCTGCTGGGAGTTGTAGTTCCTCCCTCCTCCTCGCCCAGGTGGCTCCCCCACTGCATTCAGAACCACCGGGGCCCGGACAGCGGCAAGTCAGGCTCCGCCAGGCCCAAATAGGACACCACTGAAGCAGTGTTTCTCCACCTTCCTCATGCCGCCACCCCTTAAGACTCCCCAACCATACCATGATTTCTCTTGCTATTTCATAACTGTAATTTTGCTACTGTTATGAATCATTGAACCATCCAGTCCAACCCCATTCTGCCAAGAAGCAGGAAAATTGCATTCAAATCACCCCGACAGATGGCCATCCAGCCTCTGTTTAAAAGCTTCCAAAGAAGTAGCCTCCACCACACTCCAGGGCAGAGAGTTCCACTGCTGAACAGCTCTCACAGGAAATTCTTCCTCATGTTCAGATGGAATCTCCTTTCTTGTAGTTTGAAGCCTCCTAGTCTCCAGGGCAGCAGAAAACAAGCTTGCTCCCTCCTCCCTCTGACTTCCTCTCACATATTTATACATGGCTATCATGTCTCCTCTCAGCCTTCTCTTCTTCAAGGCTAAACATGCCCAGCTCTTTAAGCCGCTCCTCATAGGGCTTGTTCTCCAGACCCTTGATCATTTTAGTTGCCCTTGAGGAAGAAAGAACCTCAAGCAAAGATTCCTTATCAGCTCCATAATCTCTCCCACCCCACCCCCGCACATTGTCTAAAAAGAAAAACAGATGCCTTAAATTGTTGAGAAAGCCCCATAAACACACACACACAATTGTAATAGTAAAGGAGGAAGAGAGAGAAAAAATTTATTTATTTATTTGGTACACTTGTATACCGCTAATTTCTCAGCCTAGAACGGCGACTCAATTGCGGTTTACAGCATTTTAAAAACAATCTCAGTTTAAAAAACATATACAAATACAATAACAAATTATTGGGCCACCAATAATAATCCCATATATCTCAAGTTAAAAATTCAACAGTAGCTTGAAAATTTGGGTTTTTCTATTATTTCTGCATGAGCTTTAGTGAATATGGGCTACATATTTGGATACAATACTGAACGGCGGTGGTAAGACCTTGGTTATAAAACATATTTACACAGTTGTGTAAACAGGATCCAGAAGAATGGAAATCATGTCCCTATCCTGCTCTCACAATTGCATAAGTATGCTTTAGATCTGAGGCCTTGATACCACTGACTACTGTATCCAAAGAAGTAGTGGTCTTTATATCCACAAAAGCTCATGCTAAAATAATAACAGTTCTCTTTAAGGTGATGCCATGTTTCTTTTTTGCTTCCCATCCCTCCTTTTTTATGGTAGTAGAAACTACATGGCTACTTATTTGAAGATGATGATGATGGCAGTGATGATGATGATAACTATTAATCAGCCATTCCAAACCTTTCTGGCCTCAGATATCATGAACTCTTACATTCCATCCACCCTAGTCATTGCCTATATTGCTAGCTTGTGTTGCTGAAGTTTGTAATCCAAAAGATGAGTGGGGTGGGGTGTTTTGTTGAAAAGCATTTGGTCTCATCCCCATCATAGAGATATCCAGGACTGAACCTGTAACCTTCATGCAATGCTTACGCTCTGCCACTGGTCCTTCTGCAATGTCTTCCAGGAAATATTAGGAGCAGCACAACTTCTTTCCAGTGGTCAGGACACTTTGGTGCCATTGAGGAAAGCAATAAAGGAAAGAACATGAGTTAGTGGCTTATTTTATGGTCAGAGGGTTGCCTGACCTAAGACAGAGGTGGGAACCACGCAAACCTCCAGATATTGTTGGTTTGGAAAACCTCAAATTCCCACTGTTGGCTAAAGTGTCTAGATTGCTACAGGAGTTGCAGCCTCACATCTGGAGGGCTGCTCAATCCAGACTGCTAAATAGTGCATTGAGGCTCTCTTTCACAAAACCTAATTTCAAAACTCTACTTGGGGAAGCCTTATATCTATAAGTTTGCTAGAATGACACCACCAAAGTTTGAATGTTGTTAAAAGATCTTCTGACCTTAACATGCAAAGGATACATGTAGGAATACATGAAAATGACCACTTAAATATTTTGAAGCTTTTAGCCATAGTAGCACAGTGGGTTAAACCTCTAAGTTGCAGACATTACTGACCAGAATAATAATAAACTTTATTTCTACCCCGCCACCATCTCCCCGATGGGGACTCAGAGCAGCTTACATGGGTCCAAGCCCTGACAACATAATACAGCAATAAAATAAAAACATATACAACAAACAACAACAACAACAACATCAAAGTGACAATTAAAAAAGGAAAAAAGTGATAAAATAAACATTCTAGTAAACACAATCACGGTAATGAAGACAATGGGTGGGCCACATATTCAGGATAAAAAACAGTTAACAGAAGGTTGGTAGTTCGAATCCACAGGATGGGGTGAGCTCCCATTGTTAGCTCCAGCTTCCAACCTAGCAGTTTAAAAACTCGCAAATATGAGTAGATCAATAGGTACTGCTTTGGAGGGAAAGTAATGGTGCTTCATGCAGTCATGCCAGCCATATGACCTTGGAGGTGACTATAGACAATGCCAGCTCTTCAGCTTAGAAATGGAGATGAGCACCACCCTCCAGAGTCAGACATGACTAGACTCAATGTCAAGGGGAAACCTTTACCTTTACTTTATGCTTCCTTTGAGATACACTTTGGAAATTGTTAAGAGTTGCATCAAAATGTGGAGCAGCTATTAGGATTACCATATATACTCATGTATAACTTGACTTCATGTATAAGTTAAGGGCAGGTTTGGGGGGCAAAATTATGGATTTTGTTTGACCCGTGGATTAGTCGAGGATCATTCCATGGAGAGGGGAAAGCACCAATGCTAACTCAATGGGCCAGCCACTCCTGTTGCTATTTCCCTGCCCACACATTTAAAAAGGTCAGAAGTTGTGTCATAATGTAGAGATTTTAGAAGGTTAGTGCTTCTTTTAGGTTCCCCTGAGATGAGATGATGCCAAGAAAAGGCATGGTTCTGGGTTTTTTTAAAAAAGGGTTTAGGTACTTTACCCAAATTGACCCTTGAATGAGTCAACCCTAATTTTTGGGCTGCAATTTGTAGACCTATGCATAAGTGTATAGGGTACAATTTTCCTGAAACCAACATTTCAAAAGTAAGTAACAGAAGCACAACCTAAAAACACAAGAGCCAAGAAGGGAGTTGCATCACTTGGAAGGCATATTTGGCACATCAGCACATGTTTGCTGTTTTCATTCTGCCTCCCTGCCAAATGGTTTAGGGCACCATACCACTGCCATTCCCCAGAATTTTCCTTTCATTTCCATCGGCCTCCTCCAGAGAACAGATAAGGCAGCCAACTGTGAGTCTTGTCAGAAGGAAACTGATCCTGAACTATATTTACAACAGGCTGTTGGAAATCTAGAATAGACTGCATTAATATTTGTTTTATCCTGCTCATGTTGCTGTTGCTCTGAACATAACACCCTCAGCACAAGTTGCTTCCTTGAAATATGGCAATATGTTTGTTTATTGAATTTTACACTTTTTCTTGTTGCTTGCTTAATTTGTTGTTCCATTTTGTAACAATTGTTTTACCAAATGTGGAATACGATTGCATAAATATCACACTTTATAGCAAGCTCAGTTTCCTGTGGGAATACCCTGTATTTTATTTTTAATCTGATTACATCCTCACACCAAGCCTGTGAGGAAGGTTAGTCGGAGAAGCAGTGGTTGGCCTAATCACTCTCACACCATACCTGCTGAATTTTATGGTGGAATGGGAAATTTTAAAATCTGAAATGGCCCATCTCACATCATTTCCAACCAGCATGGCTGTCTATTCTAGATGTACATGTGTACAAATGTATACACTAAATAATTTCTTTTATAGTAATAGACACACAGAGAGACAACAGCAGCACACGATGATACATCATAGAAATGCTGCCACACGACCTTGGTTTCCAATCTGTGACCCACATTATTGAGTAATATCTTTTTCCTGGAAAAGCTGCACCACAAACTTGATTACTGTTTTTCTCCAGCAAGTCTCAATGGGGTAATAGTTACATTATACACTACATGGCTTATTTCTCCCCATCACATAATTAAATGTCAGCTTGAAGTACCTCTTGAGTGAATAATTATTTAGTCTGAGCTTGCTCAGTAATAGGAAGGTGCCATCTCCCCCCTCAAAAAAGAGAGACATAATCAGGCTGTGATTATTCTTCGTTGCTCATCAGCAATCACAGAGATATGGGGCACCATCAAGCATGCCAATTAGGGGTTAAAGAAATAAACGTAGAGAAAAATGTTTCTCATTTTTTAAAAGATTCCTTAGAATGTAATGCTAGAATTGATGCCAGGTTTCCTCAACCTAGTGCCCACCAAATTAATTGGACTCCTATTCCCATCACTCCCACTAGTAGGCTTACCACTTGGGGAATGTAAACATTGTAGTCTAATCCATCCTAGACACTTGAGAAGTGTCCGACATGTGATCCAATTCAACAGCCAGAAAAGTGACCTTGTTTGTTGTGGACTCATCTTGTAGTGTTTAAAATAATAATGCACTTTATTTATATTCTGCCATTTTCCCCTAGTGGACTCAAGAGCAGATTACAGCATTTGCATACATAGGCAAACATTCAAATCCTTTACAATCAAATAGAATGAAACACACAAACTCAAGCAAAGGCAAAGGCTTCTCCTTTCATTTCTGGCTTTTGGAGATGGCGCTCTGGCTCTGCGGAGGTGCTTTCTCCATTTCAAGCGGAGAAGCCTGCATTGTCACCTCCTGGTTGTGTGGCAGGCAAGATTGCTTGGAGTGTCTCTTTGCCTTTTTCTGCCGAAGCAGTACCTCATTATCTACTTACATGTGCATGTTTTTGAATTGCTAGGTTGGCAAGAGCTGGAGCTGA